GAATTTTATTTGTTTCTGTAGACACTCCCTCTCTACTTATTATGTGTCCCTGGAAACTCGCTTATTGATGGAACAATTCATTTCTTTGGACTGAGCTCAAGGTTCTCTTGCCTCAATCAATCCAGTACTTACAGTAACCCATCACCAACATCCATCAAAGTTCTTGCCTTATATGATTACATTATCCAAGTAGATGTGTACGAAATTCCACGTAGTTCAGAAAGAACACACTTTTTTAAAGCAAAGCTCTGCCATATCTCAAACTGCCTAAAATACTCTTAAAGAGCACTCCATTATTTATTGAAATGCAGCAGTTGTATTACGTAACCCAAGTGGTAACATCAGATCACCACCAATTATTGGTAGCTGTTCGTGAGTCATTAGTGTACAAGAGTAGTAGTAATCAGTGTAGACTCTTCCTTATTCCATAGATAATGGTGTTTGGGTGTTGAACTTTCAGGCAGATGCGGAGAGAGGTGTGGATAGTATCTTGCATTTACATACTATTTTCTAGGCATTATATTCTGTCATTGATTTTATATTTTACTTTGTTGATCTGTTATTGTATTTTTCCAAGTTTGTTATTATAGTCTTTTGTAATAAGTTATCTATTTCTTCAATAACATTGTGTATCACATGTTTGTTGATAGGCCTAACTCTTATACGAAACTAAAAAGGATCTTACTTGTTAAACATCCTCTCGTAATATACGGCACAACTGAAAAATTATAGCAGTAACCAAACTCACTGATTAATTAGCTCACTGTTTGATCACCTCTTCAACAACAATTCTTTGATGTTTTTAAACAATATTCGTTTTCCCAAGTCCCTAGAAAATTTGAGACGTCTTGTGCACGTCACATTAAATCTACACACTTAGGAAATTTCTAGGTGTCACACATCATCATTACGTTATTACTCTAGCAAATAATACGAAACATATAGATTAAGTGTTAAATATATAGTCTACAAAAATAAAGTAGTAAAATGTATTTTAGTTGGCTGAAACTTTAATTATGAACCACGCTAGTGGTTCATAACAGTGATCGTAAGAGTTGCACAAGCCCTAACAGAACGTACAGGCAAAAAGCACCCTAAAGAGTCAAGATTTAATTCCAACAGCACTTTAAAACATTTGATATTAACTGATAAGGCTGTACACGCATAAAAATGCACAAAAAGACGCATGTTACAGTTATAGTAAAAAAAAAGAAATCCGCTCAAAATGGCCCGTTTATAATTCTTATTATTATTATTTCATTATTTTCTTGCCAGCCTACAACAAAAACGGCTTGGTATATTGCACCCAAACCTTTTGCAGAATACTAAATAGGATACTATAAAGGATGTAGTGGTATTGAAAAGTCGATTTGTTTCTTTTATATTTTATATAAGCTAAAAACATCATAATTATAGTGCAAATATTTGGTGTTCTTTAAAAAGCTTAAAGACAGAGTGAAACAGGAATTACCAGCCAATAATAGATGAACATTAGATTACTGTAACTACTGTAACATGTAGATACTTGGTGCTTTGTACACTGTACAATAGGTGTCATTAGGGAGCCAATCCTTGTATTTTGTACGAAGTGAAGGAGTAAAAAAAAAACAATATACATAATATTGAATTTTATTACACGCATTTGTAGAATAAATAGCTTAAAATAACACGAATGGTTTATTTAAAGTGATGTTTCGGACGTATATGTTTTATTTGAAAAGGCTGATTTTCTACTATTAAAGCTTCGTTGGGGTTCTATCTTAGTCTGGGCATATATTTGTCAATTGCTATGTATTATATATAAAGAATTTAGTTACACAGAAACTACAAATGCTCACTATATTCTTGAACAAATATCTATTACAATCTCCATTTGCAGCTTAACATTTTACACCTCGAACTGATGTGATCAAATAGTCAATAGCTACAGTAAATCATCATGAACCGTGTCAGCTAACTACTAGCTATGTTTATTATCATTACAATGTATAAAGTTACCTACCATATAAAGTAACCCTTTGCCAACAGTTGAGCATAAAAAAGCCAGCAAACAAGATAAAAAATTGGGAATTTAAAAACCTGCAAATAGAGATCATAAAAAGTAAGGAAACAAGGCTAGAGATACTGTAGACATTATTTACTCAAATCACAAATTCCTATTTTGACTCCTACAAATGTAATACTAGGTAATAGCATGAAGCCAAAATACTTGTTCCCTTTCTTTTCTTTACGATTGCTATTTCCGGGTTTTTAAATTCTCAGTTTTTCATTTGTCTTTAAATATAGCTTTTGTTATTAATAACATTATCAATTCATAATGCCCTGGGAAAAATTTAACTTTCCTGCGAAAAGGGAGATGTTTGTAAGAAACATTATTGTATGTTAGTTTTATTTATAAATTACATTTATAAAAAAGATCACAGAAGATAAAGTTCTAAAATGGTTTTTTGAATACATTGTATTGATTGTGTTATTTCGATGGTTGTTTTTTCTTCTTCAGTATGCTTAACCTCTTCGTAGCTAGTGTTACTTTTCACATGTTATTTCTAAGTTAGTTTTTGTGTGAACTGAACAACATGAAGATGTTTGTGTGAAACAGTCCCTCAGGGTTTCTGTGATGATATTGGACCTCCCCCGAGCCACGGAGGTTATACATACCAGAAGTTAATTACATGTTTTCCTAATTGTAAAAAAAAAGGAACAATAACATATTTTACAAAATAAAATAATTTTATCAATTTATGTGCGGTTTTATAGAAATGTCATGCTGCTATAGTCTCTCATTTAACAGATTACTATTGTGGGATTAAACCTTTTTTGTTGTTGTTCTATTCACCTAAAGCAACCATTTTAATATGACAGATTTCCTTTAGAGGCTGTTCATTAAGTTACAAATTACTTTTCGAAATTTCACTCAAGGGCAAGTTTACATAACAGTATAAAAACTTTGCTTTGGCCTTGAGATATGGGATATTAACCATACGTGACTTTGGAATTTTGTATCACCCTGAATAAAGGATATTCCTAAAATCTACGCAATTAAATATTAAAATGTATATCTGACGTTTTTTGTTGTATATCTAAAACTAAATCCAGCACTGAAAGAGTTAAGTGATTATTGTCGTTATAATTTAAACTATGTATTTTTTTGTACTGACTTCATGTGAATGGTGGGACGGCGTGCATATGCGAGATTCGCCAAGCTGATTTGTTGAATACTAGCATGAGTTATAGAAAATAACCCTACTGGCCAGCGTCTTCATATTAGTGTTTGCATTATATCTAACTTGTACTTCGAGCTGTGGCAGAGAGCTAACCTAAATTAAACAAACAAAACAAATCATTACTTCTAGCTGTGGCAGAGAGCTTAGTCATACAAAATAAATCTTTACTTGTAGCTGTGAAAGAGAGCAGAGCCATACAAAATATATCGTGGAAGCTTCGTGGGGAGCAGGTCCCGGGTGGTAAGTCTACGGATTTATGACGCTAAAATCATGGGTTTGATTTCCCTCGGTGGACACAGCAGATAGCCCGAGGTGGATTTTCAATGAGGAAAAACGCACACACTCGTGGTGATCAGCATTTGAAAAAATAGGCACTAAGAAAGTAGCAAGGGAGAAAATTTAATGGCTGTCAAATTAATAAAAAGGTGAAAGAGAATAAAGTGGATTTTTTTAAATGATTTTGAGGGAATATACAAGAACTCTCTTAAAGTTTCTTGTTGATCAGAGGTCTGAATGTTTAAAAATGTTTGTTACGGACAAACAGACACAAATCTTCTGATAGTACAGTTACAATACAAGAACCAGTGATAACCTGACGCGAAAGCACGGCGGTTGGTGCCAACTGTTTGTTTTGTTCTAAATCCAGACTTTTCGATAAATTGTATTGTTGAACGCATTATGAGGGAACACCCTTAGTATCTGGAACTTTCTTTAAAGTTCAGGAAATAATTTTAACCAAATAAAAAAGCAAGATAGGCTAGAGTTACGGCTTATTCGCACTCTTATTGCACATTGGGGAACCCGCACTTTACCGTACATAAGGAGCTAAAATATATAATTTTTAGCATTGTTACTGTTGTGGGCATGTCGCAGATGTCAGCGGTCCGAGTTTAAAAAAATTCATATTTTTCGCGTCTAATCAGCACCTCGCCTATTACAAGGTAGTGTGATTGAGAGTATTGTTGAAAATTAATATGGACGAATATTTGATGGAAAATTTTCACAGTTGTACAATGTTACAAAAGTTGAATACTAGGATTCCAAAATTAGAGAAATTTATTGGGGAAAAATAAACCCCGATTGCGGGCTAACAAGAAAGTGTTTTGTTATAATTAAAATTTAATATGTTGACACTGATAAGTACGTCTGCACACAGCTTCATTTTATATATTCCTGTTGTTCTAAAACTAACGTTAGGCTTAAAGATGGTGTAAAAATATCAATGATTTGAATTTCATATAAAATCTTTTACTCACTACTTAAATTACATGTTTTGGTGAAGAAAGGAGAAAACACAAATAAATCAATGAAGCTTAGTTGGCCTAATGTGTTTATTTTTTAAATAAAGCTGCAGCATACGAGGTAAACATATTTTCATTTCCAAACAAACACATTAGCAGAATTTGTTTCCTTTTAAATAGAAGGAGAATTTTAATTTTAAAGTATTTGTTAGATCTTCTGACCACCGTAGGACTAATAATAATAATATATATATATATATATAACTTGCTTTACACTGATTAATATTTAACTATATATGTTACTAGGATATTAAATATATATAATGGTTGCATGACACAAATATGTATATTGTCTGTGGTCAATGTGGAGAATATAAATATATTTTTAATTCTAATTACCATAAATCGTTCTTTATTCAATGAAACAAAAGAAATCAGCTTGCATCTGTAAACAAACCATTGGTAATACTCGAATTTGAATCAATGCAACAACGTTTTTTTTTATAAAGCAATTACCAAAAAACTATTTACATAGTACAAAATATTTAAATGAAATTACTGGAAACATGCAAATTAACTGAAATATTAATTTTCATAATCTACCTGGAACTATATAATGTTTATACGGTATTTAAAATTAAAAGAAGGGCATTAAATATTTAAAGATGAACTTGAACCTTGAAAACACCAGACGACACTAGTATTTAACCCGTGGTATACCACCTGAAGCACCTGTGGCGAGAAAAATTTATAAAAAACTTTTTTAAATAAATACTATAATTTGATTATTTAGATTTTATTTAATACTAAGTGTGTATGTGCTCTATTTTATCTATCGTTAAAACAGTTCTTTGGAGAAATCTAATTAAAACTGATTAGTTGATTTTAAGTAGAATATGTCTTTCAGTTGGCTGGTTATGAATAATTATTTCCGAGACAAAACTTTGGGAGTATCAGGCTTCTGTTCTCCTTAGCTACCAATGTGTTCAAAAACAAATTATAAATTTTCCTTTAAACATTGTACATAGTTTACATTTTCTGAAATTGGATTTTTAAATGTAGCTATTGATATTATGAAAAATTCGAACATTTAAAACTTCAACTTTTGTTTCTTCATTATAAGTAAACTTACTTGTAATGTGTGCTGTTTAAGATCACTAAACCCTTAGCAATGATTAGTAACATGTTAATAAACGTCATAAATGTTTGTTTTGTGACAACAACAAGAAAAACTTTAATTCTACGATTCTGCCAAATAACTTGCACATTTTCACATCAGTTAATTTGGCTGTGAAAGAGCAATAACGATTCTTGCACTCTGCCTGAAATAATATTCTCTTTTCAAACAATAGACTTCCAGATTCTGCCTTATATTACATTTTGTCAGCTAAATAGCAAATTCCCACAGATATTTATCTCTCAAATAAAACGTACATGTTTTGCAGTTCAAAATTCTTAAAAAAGCTAAATTTGAGCGTCATATTCTTCTCCAAATGAAATATTACCTGTCAAATACGAAACTTCTATAATATGGCTTCAATAAGCTCTGTCTTAAATCAACAATATGGCTTCAATAAGCTCTGTCTTAAATCAACTTATTTCCCGTACGACATTTTTGGGTACTCCCTTAAAAATGAACTTTTATATGTCGCACAACAAACTCTCACTCTCTCTTACATCTAGTCCTATTTGAGAAGAGGAAACCTCTCTCCACTGCCCTTACCTCATCATCTACCAAATAATACAATTCTACCATGACTTTAATCAACTCAGTCTACCTAAAATAACTTTTCCATACATTGCCTTTAAACAAATACCCCGAATAGTAAGTGCATATACAGCTTATTATTTACCAGTATCTTATTACATTTAATTATGAAGTACATGCATACATTACGAATATAAGGAAAGTTTCGCAGTTCATAAAGAGTATGGCGTAGATAGGGCCAGTGCGACCCGGAGGTACAGCACGGGGGTGCGGGTTTTTGGGGGGTGATAAAGACGAATGTTAAGAAATTGGTTCTGGTTACCAGCTACTCCCTGGCCGAGAGAAACGTTCCGTGTTGGGTCAGAATTGGCACTCTACAGTGAAGCGTACAGTTAGAATATAACACTGCTGCCCACGGATGATTCACGGAACATTCGCTGGGGTGGGCAGCACAGTCAGCGTTTGCATAGGGCAGTCTTGCGTAGAAAGATGAAATTGTGAAAATATGTTTAGGTTCTCTTTGGCATGCAAATACCTCAGGTTTCACATCTTGCCTCCAGAGGCGCCACCGTGTTTTTGTGCACGTGTGTATTTCCCGCGAGTAGATATTGGCCTTTCAATCGCAGTGCAGCTTCTTCAACCAACATGAAATTGGCAAATGCAGAGAAGTGAATTAGAGAAATGTTATTACACAAAGTATGCAATGCTGATGCAAATTCTCAGGAAGAACCGTAGCGTGAATAACATCAGAAGGAGCCCTGAATCCAGTGCGCAAGTTCATAAAAAAATTTGGTGAGACAGGTTGCACTTGTGATCAACATTTCTTACCTCCGTGATACCAAAATGATAATGTGGTGTGGTTTCGTAGCTATCTTTGTTATTGGACCGTACTTTTTGATAGTACCATTAGCACTTTGACTTCAAACCTGCACAGTCACTGCTGTATAATACCATGCAATGCTCACAATTAATGTGATTCTCATGCTGTAGCAACTAAGTGTGTTAGACATTACAGTTTTCATGCAGGATGATGCCACTCCGTGTATTGGTAACGAGATGAAACACGTCTTGTTGGGACACTTTTAGGACAGCATCATTTCACTTCTCTTTCCCTGTGAACGGTCATCTCGTTCACCGAACCTAACACCAGTCGATTTCTGGTTGTTTTTTTGGGGGGAGGTACCTGAAATCGTCCATGTTCCTTGAAAAGCTTCGTTTTATTCTAAATTTCAAGAATAAAATTGTATGGGAAGTGTCTAGTGTACCAGATGAGATACGGGTTGTTGTTATGGGAAGTGACCAGTGTACCAGATGAGATGCGTGTTGTTGTTATGGTGTCCATTGTCACACGGAAGCAGTGCATACTGAACACTGAAGGAGCACATTTTGGACAGTGGTTATGATTGGTCAGACATCAAGTAATAGCGGCGTTTCCGGTAGCAACATATGACAACTGTGGTATTTGTACCCGCATGATACCCTTCCTATGCCATATTGTTTACGTGACATGACGCGCTGAACTGCGAAACCTTCTTTATAATCACTCTTATATACACATTTGTTTTCTTTATTTACGCGCTCAACTTCCCATAGCTTTTCTCCAATCAAGAAGCGATATTTCTATTACTGCATATTCACACTTACTTCTACTTTTCTTTAGGCTACACTGAAGGTCACTTGACCTAATTGTTGACTGCATTTTTTTTTTCTTGTCAGCGGTTTAAACATTTTATTTTATTTTTGCTTAGAAATGAGAAATTTCGTCTCTGTTGTATGGTACTTAGATGGCAATGTAGGACAAACCCCAACATTTCATTGAACAATAAATCAACTTCTATTTATAAGTAACAAGCTAGCCTCACACGCCTGTCAAATATTAGACCCATTTCTTTCTTTCTGACAACAGTTGTCTATGAAATGAGGAATTTATGGTTGATTTAAAAATGTGCTATTGTCAGGTGCTAATTCCACTCCTCACTTAAATCGTTTATTACCCATGTATCAAATTTCTACCCTCTTTATAAGTTGTTTTGATGTAGATGGTGAAAAACAAGCAATATGACACTGATTAAATATAAGCCAACCTAATAACAGGTTCATTATGTCCATCATTATACTATTAAACTGTCCAGTCTTTCTTTCCTTATCCACAGCGCATATATCAACAAAATATTCTTTAATAAGTTTATCATTGTGTGTTTCAGACTATCTTAGGACTGACTGAGAAATAAATCCTAATTGGTATGGCACGAAAAGTCCACATGGCACATGGGCTCGTGAAGGATCCTATAAAAGCATCAGTTTTGCAGTTTGCCTCTACTGTTATACTAACCTGAAAATACAAAACAAAAGATTATTCTGTACATTAAAAAATTAAAGTAACTTACTTCTCCATTCATTTTCATAATCTACATCGTAACCTTGGTTGATCTCTCCACTGGAATTGTAGTTTATCTGGGAATTAGTTCTAACGTCACGGGATCGGTAACTGTAACCGTAATCTTGACTCTGTCTTTCATAATGTGGGCGGGAACTGTATCCTGGTTCTGGACTGTGTTTACCAGGGCGCGAATGACAATCGTATTCTGGCTCTAGCCTTCCAGAGCTCGGACGAGGGTTGTATTTTGGTTCCAGATTACCTCTATCGTAATGGGCACGGGAATGGTAGTCTTGCTCTGGGTTATAATAGGGAGTCAAATCTGACTGGATTTGTCTTTGTCCATATTGATCATTTTGAGGTCTTATCTGCCCTTCATCAAAATCAGGCCTGCTGTACCGGCGGTAGTTATTGTCCAAGGGAATGACATTATCTGGCTGGTCAAAACTTGGAAGCTGACCCCTTTCCTCAGGCACGGTGTGATTCTGATACGTTGATAGTGGAATTTGTGGCTGGTCTGTTGTAAAATCACCCTTGTAGAAGATTATAAAAGAAATATCTTATAAAACTGTATCACTTAGTTCGTCATATAAAGGTGAAAATAAATATATAAATGGAATAAGTTTTATATTATTATTCAACTTTCTTGCTACTACTGGTGTGTATATACACACACACGTTATACAACATCTTTATTGTAACTAAATTACTAAATTTATCAACATAGTATCTGAGGGATTTGAATAAATCTGGTGAAAATGTTGAACATCACCCAGGAACTAATCGCTTCGATATTATGGCTGTGTTCCCGACATTAGTTAATTAAAATTCAGCTAAACCGCGTATACAGAAACAGAGTTTCTGAAACTTTTTTATTATTTGGCCTAGACTTTCATTGTTAGGTGGGGCGCTCTGTGCAGGTATTGTTTCACCATATTTATTGCATGCTTGGGGTTAAAGATGTTTCCTTGTTTGCGTGAGAATAACAAGATTCTGCTTGTACTTGTCAGCTTTCAGTGTGTGAACAATTTTATATCTTCCTACACCATAAGCTGAGACACATCACAAAGTTGTACCCCCAGAATGCTTCTCTGCAGATGCTATACGTTTACCATGATAATGGTTTTCTCTCTGCAACCGAACAAATTATCGTTAATTGATGCTAAATCATATGTGGATGTTGATCCGACTGCAAAGCGCACTCTTCTCCAACTTTGCTTTGAAAAAATGTGAATATTTCAGCCATCTGGTTTGGTTATTTCTCCGAAATAGTTGTTTTTGAGTAATTATTCCATTGAAGCAATTTCGGGCTAATTTCTATCTTTGTGGTTTGGTTGCATCATTCAAACCTTTACTTACCAATAGGTTATTGGCAAAATCTACTGGATTATCGCGTATCACGTAAAGAGTATACCCAGAATTACTTAACGTTACTTTCAAAGAGTTTAGGCTTTCTACCTTGAACTTCTATTACCAGCAGTATTAATTTAACGTACTACCTTTAAATTTTCCGTACAGCTTCTAATCGTTCATGACATTTCACCTTAATCCATCTCATACAGTCTTTTATGAACCCAAATTTTGAATTTTGCTTGTTTTTCGTGTAGTATTTCTGCCCTGAGACCATTCTATTACTATTACTGAGAATAGTATAATTAACTGTACTTTTATGGGCGCTATACTGTGATATTGTCTGATTGGTTGAATGACAATCATCACAGTGTAAACTACTAACACATGATTGTACTCTGGTACAGTTCATTTTCGTACAATAAAGAGGAGAAATGTCATATTTCGTTTTATACCCATTTTATTCGGTTTCACTACTTATTTACAGTACTGTGTATATACACACCGTTTTCTCGTTTTGAAACTGTGGTTTCCAGCATCAGTTACTTCCGGTTGTAATTTGAACACGTTATTAGATTTAATTGAGACGCGTCTTCTTTGCCAATTCCAGTAAAAAGTTACAGGTAGATTAACATGGATTACAAATTAAGAATTAACAGAATCAAGTTCTGTTGGTTATTCACAATGTTTCAAGTTCAGTTCATTACACAATGTTTCAAGTTCATTTGATTACTTGTAGTATCTCGGGTTTCCAGTTTTTGTGCTTACTCTTAACTCTTCATTAATCAACGACAATCGTCTACTAATTGTCATCATCCTCGTTCATCTCCAACAACTAACACTTCATAAAAAACACAGACAATTTCCAGTTTATCATATGGTTGGATGGGTGAATTTTTAGGATCTGCCAGAGTTCAACTGAAGTGGTATATTCCACATTGGATATCTTGAAATAGTAAGATGATAACGTGCAGCGAGTTACAAGTTAACATTATTTAATCTTTGTAAAGTCGTCCCAGAATACAGTCTCCTTTCATCTACAAAGATTCGTGCCTAACTAAATGTCGTTTTTATAATGGTCTTCCTTTGTAAAATATGGTTTAAAAAATGCTCAACTTTTAATGAAATTGTCTGATGCAAATAGCATACGTAATAAGTTGGAAAGTTGCTTTTACTTTTCTATCTCTTAAGATTGTGTAACGTGACAATATCAGTTCAAGCTGTGTAGTCTGAGAAGAGAAGAAACTGGGTATTGTAAACTCTAATTCTGTTAGTTGGTAATATTTATGATATTGCACTACAATCACATTGATATGTTTTGACTCGCATTTTCTTGACTGGGCCAGTGAAGAATGATGTAATTAATATTATCAGAATTATTGTGATGTAATATCCCAAACATAGCTCACTTTCAGATTATGCTCCGCCAGCTTGATTGTTCTACGATATGGGACTTGATGTCTCCATAACTAATTCAGTTGGTCGTTGTTATAAATGTTTATGTTCACTCTGTCAAGTAACACTAGCTCATATTTTCTCGATACCACGATGATTAATATTAATTTTTGTCATTTCATCACAGCTATAAAAAATGCAGGCCATTATTTATTACAGATAAAAAAAAAAATGCCACGTGCCTTAGTATATGAAAACAGCGAAGTTTTAAGATCATGGCTGCTTTAAAGTATTTGGTATTTAAAAGTTTCGAAAGTTAGAACAAATGCCATTTCTAAATTCAATACACTATTCAAACTATTGTTGTTACTGGTTAGTTATAAAGTAACAAATTCATGTACTTCAAATGAATTCAAATAGTACAAACATTTCAGTTGTTGTTGTTGGACATAAAACTACACAATTGGCTATTTGTAGTGTACCCACCATGGCTATTGAAACCTAGTTTTTAGCGTAAAGCCTAGTAACTTACCACTAAGTCACTGGGAGAGGTTGGCACACATTTAAGTAACGAGGCACTGACGAGCATATATTTTGAGAAGAAAATTTGTTTCTTCACAAAACGTAAAATTTCTGCACCATGTGTGATTTACGCATGTTTGCTTTTGATAAACAACGTTTGAAATGTTAAATATCACTTTGTTTCGATAAAATTAACCATAATTTGGATATTAAGCATGTAATCATGGAGGGGGGATCCATTTACAAAAATGCTAATCACCATTGGTGTAATTTGTTGGTGATTCCTGCCTTTCGCTACTACTTCTAATATTTGTTTAAGAAAGGGATAAAGAGTTTTAAAATTTTGAGATTTAATTAAGTCACGTAGCCTTTATATAACTTGTTTACTCCATTAAAAATGTATAATGGAATCAAGACTGTTTACTTACCAGAGTTGCTTTGATCTCTTTCTTAATCTCTGATATGCGTTGGGTCACTGCGACAAAGAAATAGGCCTATAAAATAAATTAAGTCTGTTATACAAACTCTTTGTAACTTACAATTGAAGATGTAGGTCAGTGTGTGGGTTCTTTAGTGTAAAAAGTGCGTCAACTGTATTTCTAAGCTAGAAACGTTCTGTACGTCAATATGTTAAAATCATAAATAATACTCAACGTCAAAAGCGTTACACAATTAAAAACATGTTGTTTAGGCCTATATATGGCCTTCAAAAAGTTGACGTCTCTACATGTTTCGACGTTGCAACGTCATCCTCAGGATATGTTAGATATGTACCTTAGCCTGATTCGTTGGCAAACGCAAAAACAGTAAAACAGATGGATACTTGAAGCCTTGCACTGATGGGTTAAAATGACATTTGAAATGTACTCTATAAACTTATTCCTCATAAAAAGAAAACAAGAAAACGTGATGAAAGATAATAGTTAAACACAATTTAAGTCTTAATAAAAAAAAACAAAAGATCTTGGAAGATTAAGACGAAACGCATCATAAGCATATTTTATATTTACAGACAGTATTTCAATATAGCTCAAATTTTCCTAACGCGAAAGAGTTTAAACACATCAACAACGTAGGCATTAATACACCAGAAACGAATATACATCATTATCAACAACGTAGGCATTAATACACCAGAAACGAATATACATCATTATCAACAACGTAGGCATTAATACACCAGAAACGAATATACATCATTATCAACAACGTAGGCATTAATACACCAGAAACGAATATACATCATTATCAACAACGTAGGCATTAATACACCAGAAACGAATATACATCATTATCAACAACGTAGGCATTAATACATCAGAAACGAATATACATCATTATCAACAACGTAGGCATTAATACATCAGAAACAGATATACATCATTATCAACAACGTAGGCATTAATACATCAGAAACGGACATACATCATCATCAATAACTCATTTTAAGAGAACAAAGCATAAAAATGCTGCTCTTTGAGAAAAGTATCGGAGCAGTTATAAGTGAACTTTAGGACCCCAGAAAGTGAGAACTTGTTCTTAAAAGTATTGGAATAAGTTTTAGTATTTTAGATACTTACGTTAAGTGGGAAGTTGATCGTTCCAATAGCAAAACAAATCAGAAAGTAAAAGGTAATGAGATTTTCCTTGAGTATCTCTTGCTCAGTCAAATCACTGGATTTACTGACGCTCTGAAAAATATTTAATGAGTTTATTGCATAAGAATACAAAGGCAAAACTTATATCGTTAATATTAATAGATGATAACGTCTCAATACAGATAAACATGTTATTCAAGTAATATAAATCAAAATTAATTTATGGCGTAAAAACGTACCAGCAACGAGTGAAAGATAAATGAGCATTGCTGAAAACGAGACTTGTTACAGTTGAAATAGTACATCATTTATCGTTTAAATACTTCCTGTAATGTATTTTAACCAGAATAGTAAAAAAATCCTATTCACACATTTAGAAAAAAATAGCGTTACAAAATACAGTGTGTTTGGCGTTTCATTTCTTGTATGAGACTCAAATGTTCTGTATGAAGCATTTTGCGATACTTATAATTACGTCACAACTAATTTTTATAACAAAAGTTATTTTAACGAAATGTTTCACACATTGTTATTGTACAAGTAGATAACGAAACTATTGAGCAAAGAATAACAAGGCCTGGATGAGCTGATTGTGTGTAGCGCTCTCTGTTGTCAGCTTTCAACATTTAATTTGTATGAGTTCTGAGCCTGTCATTTTCTGCAATGCAGGGGTAGTTTATGACATTCAGTTTTGAATCAGACACGTAAAATTGAATAGAAACTCAATAAAATAAAGGTGTTTGCGCAATTAAACGATGCTTCTTTCGCCTTTATGTGATTTGTTACGTGCTAAAATGCTCTTTTTGTTATCAATAATCGTGAATAAGTTATATTTCAATAAAGGCCAGGCGTGGCCCAGTGACTAATTTGGCTGTACCGTGATATGGTTAACGACCTGTTTCTGCTCCGTCTGTGGCTTTACTTTACTTTAACTTGGTAGGTGTTTCGGTATGAATCCTGAGCCACTAGCTCGAGTAGTGTTCGGAGCTCGTAAGAAACGGGAGGTGTTCAGAAACATATTCCTCTTCACTCCGCTCGATGTGTGAGATTTAATTAAAGAAGCTACATAACAACAATAATAATAAGCTGAATAATTAAAACGAAAATAGAATAGGAATTTAAGATTTAACGGGGGGAGGAGAGTTTCAGCAAGCAAAAAAAAATCCGAAACCACAGACGGTTTATAGGTTTCTCTTTCAGCTCATATTTTAACTAATGATTATGGCAAACCCATTGGGTGGGGGTTTGTAGATCCAGTACCCTAAAATTTGTTATGGGAGGAAAACGGGAGTACTCCGAGAAAAACCTACTTTCACAACCCGAACACCGAATAATCTATCCGACTAGTGTATGAGCTGTGGAGCTGAAACTAGAAAATAACATATATAGTCAGTACACTACGTGTTGTTAATTACATAGGTGAAAAGGAGAAAGTGGGTGCGCCATGTTTCACGAATTCCTGCTAGTGTTGGAAACTGTTTAGTTAGAGAAATGAGTGGCTGCTGTGAGGCAGTGGCCTATGGGTGCACTTTAAGAGTGTGTGTGTGCTGGCTGCTGGAATGCCGTGGTCCATGGGTGAGCTATAAGAGTGTGTGTGTGTGTTGGCTGCTGGAAGGCCGTGGTCCTTGGGTGCACTATAAGAATGTGTGTACACACACTCTTATAGTGTACCCATGGACCACGGCCTCCCAGCAGCCAACACACGTGTGTGGCAAGATTTGGCATTGGATTCTGTTGACTATCTTCATTCCCTCTATCTTGTCATTTTAAATTTATGGACAAGTAATATTTACTTTCTTTGCGTGAAAATTATATGCGTTCGTAGGTGTATGTGTGTGGCATTCGCCAGAAGACCAAAAATAATATTAGTGGGTTGACTTATATGTTAGCCATTTTAAGTTTCCCGCATAACTCGAGATGCCACATACGTGTGTTGGATTAGAAATTAATTACTTTACTCGTTCAGTTTAAGCTTGACAGCTACGGCCAATGACTCGAGAAAGCTTTCTGTAGTTGTTAGCAGATTCATGCCTTAAACGTGAAGGTTTTCTCTCTGATTTAGAAATCATTCCGATATATCTTGTGTATTTATTGAAGTAAAACTGCCGTTATAATGTGTATTTTGTCTGTTGTTAATGTAAGATATCTTTATATCGTAAACTTTTAAAGAAAACAGATCATTAAGTAACTCTGTTACAATGGTAAAACGAATCTGACTTGGATTTCGATTGCAAGTATATTTCAGATAATAACGTTACAATGAATACACGCGAGATTTAACTGAATGCGAAGCCCAAAACTATTTGTAAACTCATTAAACTTGCCGATATTGTAAAATATAACAAATATTATAAGGGCCAGATGTAACCTAGACTCTAGCTTGCCTAATTAAAAGTTGCACCTTGGCAACTTATTTCAATATTCTATCTTTTTTTTGTTACCAAAATAGGTTAGTGTTTGAACTGTGAGTCTTTTTGCTTTGTAAACAATAACCAAAATCACTGGTTAAGTTGGATAATACTTATAATGGTGATTGAAAATGTGATGAGTAGCAGTTTTACGCAGTTTTTCATTGATTCAGTCATATTATTCCAATATGAGTTTCAAACAACTTATATCCACTGCACTTGTTAAAATTGGAAATCTTGTTTTCTTTCATAACTACAACGTTCAGATTGTAACAAAGTTTAGTACGACTTCTAAGAATGAATGAATCAGATATTGTTCCAATTTTATATATCTTTGGTAAATCGCTTTGTTTAGCATAACTTTAGATGATTTTTTTAAAAAAA